AGCAAATTAGATTCAATTCACTTTGACCAAAACCCTTCTGTTTTTATTTTTAAACAGCGCTAAGTCATACTTCTTCCATCCTGGGCTTATGCAATTGGTTATTTGTACTTCAAGTTGAGCAAACTAGGTAAGAGGATGGCTTTGGGTGTTCATATTGGGTTCCTAGTCTATGTCTATAATTTACCAGCTGTGTGACTTTGGGCAAGTTACGTAATCTCTCTACTTGTCATTTTCATTATGTGTAAATGGCCATCTTAAGAGTGCTTACTTCACAGAGTTATGAGATTAAATGAGCTAAGGCCTCAGCACTCAGCACAGTGCCTGACTCATAGCAGACCTTCAATAATATTAGCTATTATTACCTATCGTTAACTCTCGTTAATATCCTAAACTTGTTATTGAGTCCTCTTTATCTTTTTCTTTTCTTTTTTTTTTTTTTTGTGGCACGCGGGCCCCTCACTGCTGTGGCCTCTCCCGTTGCAGAGCACAGGCTCCGGACGCGCAGGCTCAGCGGCCATGGCTCACGGGCCCAGCCGCTCCGCAGCACGTGGGATCTTCCCGGACCGGGATACGAACCCGTGTCCCCTGCATCTGCAGGTGGACTCTCAACCACTGCGCCACCAGGGAGTCCTCTTTTTCTTATTAAGCATAATTTAATTCAAATTTCTTCCAACATTGTACCAACCACAATTATAATTCACATGAATTCTATCTCTCTCTTAGAATTTCTTTGTTGAAGTTTTGTAAATCACAGAAGTAAGAGAGACATAGTCAGTATTTCCTATAGCTAACAGCCCATTAAGGGAGAGGGAAAATAAATAACTCATGTCATGAATCTTCTGTGTTTGAGAATCTCACTCTACTGGTTACAAATTCACTTGTCATTCAGTCCATATTTGTTTACCTTGTTCCCAAGGATAGCGTGAAGATATCATGAATAACCCTGTAAAATGTCACATTGCTGTCCAGAGGAGAGCAACCAGGATACGATTCAGATTCATCTCATAGAAGCGAGAGCTGGAGAACATAGTCATATTTAGTGCCGAAAAGAGAGGAGATGGTGCACATAGTGGGAGATGTTGAAGAGGGTGACAATTTGGTGTGTGGGTTGGATGAGGGTGGAGAGAAGGTGGACGTGGATGACGTGAACGTCCACTGAGGCCAATGGCATGTTGGCAGCAAATGATTCTGGAAGTAGCTATTTCAAGCAGCCCACGCTGATACCTCCTTGACCTATGATTTAGAAGAAACAGTGGCCCCCTTTCGGGTTTTTCTCATGAATTAGTCTAAAATATGTCTTTGTTAAAGAGGAAGAAATGGATCTTTGAAATAAGTGGACATTGACAGCCAGGCAAGAAGGAGGAGGAGACCTATTCATGGGAAGAAAGAGAAGAAAAATTCACGGTAAAGTAGTGAACGTCCCCAGCTTCACCGCCCTCTCATTCATCTTAGGCGTGCCGGAACCCTAACCCTTTGCCTGTTGCGTTAACGAACATTTTGTTTCCTTGACCATCTTTACCCGGGTAATCCCTTCATTGAGACATCACTGGTGATATATTTATTTTAGAAGAAAATAGCATCAGCTTCCCTTTCTTTTCATAGGAAATACTATGTTATTTTTTGACAGTTTTAAAATGAGTTCTGGGTGATCCCCGAATCTTATAATCTAACATACACCAAAAGTGCAATGATGTACATCAGACCATTGCCTGGTAGAAAGGTTGGCTCAGCTGTTAATCATGTGACATGATGGCCTCTTGAAGGTTGACTTTTCGAGATTGGTATTTGGGTTGAATGTACAGAGTCCTGAAAGGGATAGCCTCCTCTGGGAGATTTAAAATCAGATTAACTCTTTTGTTTTAAATTAGATGAGGACTTGCAGGGGAGCATAGATGTCACCACAGGAGATGGCAGACAGTTCGAGACTCCAGGAGTTTCCCAGGAGGGAGTGAGAGCCTTCCTGTCCCAGGGCTCTGAGACCAGGACAGCTGTGCCACCACGTAAGTAGATAATACACATGTACTAGATGGTAGAATTGGGTTATAAATTTTCTTTTAACACCATGACAATAGAATACAAAAACATATTTGAAAGATGAATTTAATAGGGTTATATGTAAATACCTGTACTTTAATATTTTTAAAAAGTGGCCTCTGTTAAGACAGGTGGAAATGTGGTTGAACTAAAGCACATGAATCAAAGGCTTAGAAGCTTTAGTTATTTGTAAGTTTAATATAAGTCATAAGTTTCTTTTGGTTACCTCAGACTTCTCAAAATCTGCAGGTGTGGGTTCATGTGTGTGTGTGTGTGTGTGCGTATGCCCATACACAATGGCTTTGACATCCCGGGCTGCATTAAGAGAGGTATCTTGATGGTGTATCCAGAGTCCGAGATCAGAGACTTCAGATCCATCTCACAAAAGCAATAGCCGGAGGACCTGGTAATGTGCAGGGCAAAAGCAGCCTCAGAATGATCTGAAGATGGTTGGGCGTCCACTAGAATTATAAGACTTGGAAGGCTCTTGGGGAAAGGAGCTTACAGTACATTCTTTCTTCTTCTGGCAGAATCCCATGCAGTCTCTGCTTTCAGTGTGAAGTTCCACCCTTGCCTGCTCCAGAACCTGCGGTGCGAGAGCTCCATTTACATCTCTAGGTCATGTTCCACCACCAGGTCTGCTCCATTCTGCTGATGACTGGAGACTGACATGGTGGCAAATACCCACCAGGGAGACCTTTGTGTGGGTTGCTCTCCTACAGTTCAGATGAGATAATGGGCCTCAGGAGGGAAATTCTGCAATTTCCTTCGTTAACTACACTGTGCAAGAACATTATTACAGCAAAAAGCAATTACAAGGAAATATAAAGCATCACTACAGAGCCATTGTCTCCGCTTTTAATTTTTTTCTAGTGCAATGTAATGTTGCCTTGTCATCTTCAATCCTTAATAAAATGTCCGTTGGTTGGCTGCCTGTGTCCTTATCATGATATCTTATTTATTTGAATCCTATTTTCAGATGTTCCTCAGCTCCCTTCTCTAGAATAACTAGAACTACGAGTGAATCAGCTAGTTGAAACTGTGAAATCTCTGGCTGGGTTTCTTCTCTACCTCCTAAGCTTCTGCATTACCATCCTCCATTATCTTGAGGGCAAGTGTTCTGGGAATGGAACCCACAAGAAGCAGATTTAGGCAATGTGTCACTCTCAAGAAATAGAATATAGGGCTTCCCTGGTGGCGCAGTGGTTGAGAGTCCACCTGCTGATGCAGGGGACATGGGTTTGTGCCCCGGTCCGGGAAGATCCCACATGCCAGAGCGGCTGGGCCCGTGAGCCATGGCCACTGAGCCTGCGCATCTGGAGCCTGTGCTCTGCAACGGGAGAGGCCACAACAGTGAGAGGCCTGCGTACCGCAAAAAAAAAAAAAAAAGAAAGAAAGAAATAGAATATCATTCTCACTGACAATTGAAATTGTCTTTGGATGGCTCATTTTTTCAGTGATCAATCAAAATGTGATACCTCTACACGTTTTGCACAAATGTATTATAATGCAACTTAAAGCTGGCTATGATTTTTTAGTCTTAGGTTCAGGAGTATAGCAATAAAGAAAATACACAAAATCCCTATTTCATGGAACTTACAACCTAGTGGAGTGACAGACAAACAAAAGAGTAAACATGCATTTGTCAGGTGTTGATAAGTGCAATGGAAAAAAAAATTAAAGTGGGTATGAGAGGTATGGGGATGGTGGGTTATTTCTATGTTGTATTATGTGTTGAGGGAAGGCCTTGCTGACAAAGTGTCATTTGAACAGAGGCCTGAAGGAAGTCAGGGGCAAGCCATGCAGATATATGGGACCAGGCAGAGAGAAAAGCAAGTGCAAAGGCCCTGAGGCAGGCATGTGTCTGTTGTGTTCCAGGGTCAACAAGGTACAATTGTTGCTTAAGCAGAGCGGGCTGGGGGAAAATATCGGGAAATGAGATCAGACAGGCAGCGAGGGTTAAAATCAAGGTAAGGACTTGGACCAGACTCTACATGAGATGGGACTCCAATAGAGGGTTGGAGCAGCGGGGTGATGTGAAGGCTCCCTCTCTTTGGCTTGGGTATGTTGAGTTTGTGATGATGATAAGCCATTCCTGTGGTAATCAAGTGGACAGTAAGAGAGAAGTTTGGATTTTGGGGGAAGACGGGAATAGAAACTTCAGCTTTGGCCCCATAAAGTCATGGGAATGGACGACTCCTCCAGGAATTGACTGTGCACAGAGAAGGCTGAGTGCTGGGGCCCTCCAACTCTTAGAGGCTGAGTAGAAGAGGAGAGTCCAGCAAAGATCCACAGAAGGAGTAGCCAGTGAGGAGACCCAGAGGGGGTTTCACGGAGGCCCAGCCACTGAAAATACATCAGTGCTCACTTAAAAATGCAACGAAAACAACAAAAACAAAATCACTTTCTTCAGATAAGTATCACTGAATTTGAGTCACTAACTTATACAAGTGCTATAATTGTACCTCTATCTATACAAGAAACATATTCTATTAATAAAGAATTATGAATAGATAACAGGATCATGACTGTAACAGAAGCTGATAACGCCGCCTTCTCCTTGGCTAGTGAGATACACCTTGGAATTTTATGGAGCGAGAACAACAAACTGTATGCAGCCACGCTGCCCTGATGTGGAGCTTTGGGGGAATTTTCACTGTATCTGCCTAATGTAGATACTTCTCACCGGGACTGTTCATGACTTAATGTGTATGTTTATATTTGAACATATTGTTCTGGTGCCTTTTATTTTCGGAATCACTTCAAAATGCACTCCTTCTTACTTCGGGTTTTTGCTTGGAAATTTAAAGTTTATTACAGAATATTCTCCAAGTTAAGGAAGACTCCCTTTTCCATAGCCCCTCATAGCCTGGTAGGGGTCATTTCTACACTTATGATGATAATGTATACAACAAACACCATGTTTACACTTGATGTCTGGAAGATTCATTGCTGCTCTCTTGTCTTCATTTCTTTTCCTCTGTGAGTCTGGAAGGAGACCTCTCTTCATCACTTCCTTGTACATGCTCACTCCTTTGGAGAATTATTTTAACATCCTAAGAGAAGAGATTCAAAGAGAAGTCACGAATATTAGTAAATGAGTTAGAATGAATGATCACCTAATATGTGGCAGTGATTAAACAGTAAGTTGTTTTTATTTTTTCCTTTGAGAAAATTGTTCTCTATTTAGCTTGAATCCTGCCTTGCAACTTACTAGTTGTGCCCTTGGAAAGATAGCAAAGATCTTGGAGATTCCATTTCCTCATCTAATAACAGAGGTGTCATATCAGATTAAATAACATTTGTAAAAGCAGAGTTTGTCAATAATGGGAAAGGCAAAACATTATTTCCCTATCAATCAATAAAAAACAGTATCCACCTTCTATTAAAGGAAAAGTCTAATGCCAAATTAATCATGTCTACAGATTTGTAGAATTTTAGAACAGCAGATTATTTTGAGGGTGGGGGGACTATCTCATTTCTGTTTTTTTTAAACATTAGAGATTGAATGATCTGTTTTTTGTCCACTTAAAATACCCAGCTATGTTACATTTTAAATCACAGATGTTTGGGTTTCCCTGGTGGCGCAGTGGTCGAGAGTCCGCCTGCCGATGCAGGGGACACAGGTTTGTGACCCGGTCCAGGAAGATCCCACATGCCGCGGAGCGGCTAGGCCTGTGAGCCATGGCCGCTGAGCCTGCGCGTCCGGAGCCTGTGCTCCACAAAAAAAAAAATAAATAAATCACAGATGTTTGTAAAATAAATTTAAGACATTATCACAATGTAGAAGGGGTATAAGCACGTGTGAAAAATGTAGAATTATATTTATGCAGTTTCTAGTTTTTTAATTTTTTTTTTTTTTTTTTAGGAAAGTGCTTTAAGAATATGTTTCTTTTCTTCAGAGCTGAGTTCCAAAGGTTTCTTTTTTTTTTTAAATTAATTAATTAATTTATTTATTTTTGGCTGTGCTGGGTCCCCGCTGCTTTGAGCGGGCCCTCTCCAGCTGCGGCGAGCCGGGGCCACTCCTCCCTGTGGGACGCGGGCTTCTCATTGTCGTGGCCCCTCCCGCCGCAGAGCACAGGCTCCAGGCACGCGGGATTCAGCAGCCGTGGTGCTCGGGCTTTAGTACTTGTGGCTCACGGGCTCCAGATCGCAGGCCCAGCTGCTCTGCGGCATGTGGGATCCTCCGGGGCCAGGGATCGAACCCGCCTCCCCTAGCACAGCCAGGTGGACTCCCAACCACTGCGCCACCAGCGAAGCCCCAGAGGTTTCTATCTGACCGTAGTCATTTCACTCATGAAAACATTAGTTAGTTCAGCGTCTGAACGGACCCCTAATGAGGGACGCACCATCGCTGTACCAGTCACTGCCAGGAACCGTAGTGAATCATTTTCTTGAAGGAGCTTGTTCTTTGAATATACAGATCTCCTACAGCCAAAGGTCACTCTTAGGTGAGCTAAGCGAAAAAGAACAGCTGCTCGCCCTTGACCATTCTGGTCCTACCCTCCACAGTTCTTACTAACATGTCTTCTTTGCATAGTATATTGTTTGCAAATGGCTAATGCTGACTAGGGACTGTTAACTTGGGGATTAAGGAATGAGCTGTCCTGTGATTACTTGACACTCCAGAGCAAGGGGGAAAATTATAAACTCTAGTATTTAAATCAGATTGTCTAGACTTAGAGCTGAAATCAGGGGCCATAGTTTTAAGTAGCAGTTAGTGGAGAAAAGCCTGAGAGAGTCTAGAAATGATTGACATGGGTGCCTTGAAAACACAAAGCGCCGAAGCAGCCATCATGTTTTGTTATAAACATAAAAGAGATGGTTGGAGTATATCTTAATGTCAGATACTTTGAAGACTGTGTCCCTTCCAGTTACATTTATATTTATAGGTATTTTGCCCTCACATAATTGGGTCCTGATGCATTTGTTTCTAAGAAATTCTCCTGTGACATTATGATTTTAACATGAAAAGATTTATTTTTATCTCCTAGTGAATGGAACCCTTAATTTTAAGGCTGTATGCTTGACGTACAGGCTTGTTAAAAGAAATCTACATTTATTCAGCATATGTTTGCATCATAAGAAACTACACTGCCTGGATTAGTATAGAAAAGTCCAATGTCCACTTATACTTGTAAATCTATTCATCAGAGGAAATTAATTGACTTTCCTCACTAACCACCCAGTGACAGTGTCCTCATTGATCTTGTTACATTTAACCAAAGCATTTTCTTAACAATTTAGGAACATTCCTTGAAAATAACCTCTCTGTAAAAGATCTATGAAACTAAAGTTAAATAAGTGGCTTTAGATTAAATGACTATAAAATCCAACACAAAATCTGGATCTTCTGCATAGGAATTGACCACATGGGGCTTCCTGGGACTTTGGTTTGGACCCTCTGTCATCATGGCACTGCACCAGTGAAAGCCTCCTTTCTTTCCAAAGAGCAGACACTGAATTCAGGAGTTGAAATGCCAGCTTTTTAGCTCATCCATGTACAATTTTGCACGGCTCAGAAATATTTCCGGTGAACTGCAACAACCAGCAGACCAGCAGTAATAATTATAGTAATAATAATTACTATGTATTGAGTGCTTTCTATCTACCAAGCACGGAGCTAAGCATTTTATATGGATTAAGTCATTTCATCCATACAAGGACCCTGTGAAGTATGGTTGATAATTAACCCTATTTTACAGATGGGGAAACCAAGGCACTACGAGGTCACTTGCCCAAGGTCACACAGTTCGTAAGTGTGAACCCAGTCAGCATGGTCTCTGACTCTGCTCTCCTAACCACAAAGCCAGGCCACCCACCAGAAGGAGCAAAAAATACAACGTATCAAAATAATTACACACACTCGCTTTTTTTTCACATGTATTTAAAATGCGTGTTGCTTCCAAACATGAACCTTGTAAACACAGAGCTGTTAGGTGACAACCTTCACTTCCCACTGTTTATAGCAGCAAACAACATTTTAACCTGAAAAACCACACTCTAGTTTTTGCTCTACTTATCTTGAAAGATCTTCAAATAACATCACTGTGGTTAAAGTTCATTTTAAAAATGTGATCTATTTACTTGTACATGGATATCTGGAGCAAAAAAACGATGACAGGATGAGAGAGTTGGTAACTGAGTCTTCAGAGATTTTTTTATTTCTTTTCCTTTCTTTCTTTTCTTTATTTGCTTAGTGAAAATGAGAATAGAGCACCTTACTGGAAAGGGAACCTCTTTCCTTTTCGAACATCACAGTTAGGCTTTTCAGGTCCAAGGCTCAGCTCTCCTTGGGTCACAATCAGATGAAAGAGCCCGGATTAGATGATAGCGGGTGGTCCATCGCCCTCTCATGAGATTCCAGGGTGGAGTGACAGGGAGGAGATGCAAAGGACCAGGATGGGGAGGGTTGAAGAAGCTGACTCAGCAGAAGCACCTTGGCAATGAAGGAATGAATCATCGGACAGACAGACAGACAGACTGATGAACTCTTTTTCTACTGTTAGAGTATCAGGTGATACCTGAGCTATAAGGCTGGTTCATGGGAGGTCAGATACCCTCCATATGGGGGGCTCTCAGCCAGAGGAGTCTGTGCACCAGAGAGGATTTGGGGAATGTGCAGAGGTCATTTTGGTCATCAATGCATCAAGGTGCTCCTGGAATATAGTGGGCTGCAGCCCAGAATATCAGACATCCTGCCACAATGGAGTCGGTCCTGTGCTGCTCAAAAACGTCAGGAGTGCTTCAGCTGGGGCGCAAGTTGATAAAACTCCTTCCAAGATGAGGGGAATATGCAAACTAACAAGAGCCCTGTGGACTTCAGCTTTCCCTGGGCGTCAGAACACATCTTCAGGGGACTTACCTTCGAAGGCAGTCAGTCATCTGTTGGTGGGTTTCTTTTTTCAGGAAAGTGCCAATACAATCTTCTCTGCAAGTCAATCATATTAAGTCATTCTAAAGTCTCCAGAAGTAAGAATGTTCCCCAAATCGTCCTGACTTTGTAGGGAGTTCTTCTCCCATTATAGGAGGAAATAAGCGTGGCATCGTTTTAGGGTCCTAATTGTTCTTGGTAATGTAAGATAAACCCTATTATATATAATTCCAAGGATTTGAAAATTATTTTACTGGCTTAAAATAGGAGGGCTGTTCCCTGAAATGTGGAACAGAATGTGTAGGATGAAATGCAGTCTCAAGTGATGGGCTTCTGGAACACATCTCACACAGAATGACGGTTGCCCAGGGGAAGGCAAAAGCAGGGAGACACCCACAGCTGGCAGACTGCTGCCCATCCTTTCTGTGACACCCACCCAACCACTTCTCTCCACCCTTTGTCTAGCTCTGATGTGCTCTGTTCCCACTAATTCCAGGGTCATACTGACTTATTCCCTCATCCTAAGTGGGGAAGAAAACTGGTCTTTATTAACGCAAGTATGGAGTATGAGATGCCGAAAAGGGACCTGTGACATATCTGTCTCAATGTGAAGAGTAAATGCTTGTGGGATGTATGAGTACAATGACTTAGAACATTGCCAACCACATTTCCAAATATTTTGGGCCTGTTTAAATAAAGAGACATAAATAATTTTAAAAAGAGGTCTGTTAAATGTAGAGACATAATGATATGATATGCTTAAGAGGCAAAGAAACACTTAGGGATGAAGAAATTCACATCACATCATGCCCCTGCTCAGAAGCACAGCCATTCTCCATCGCTTTTCAGATTGAAACTATATTTCCCCACGTGATGTCTGGGTTCTTTGCAATCTGGCCTGATCTTACTAATTCAACGGGATCATTCCAAGCCCTTCACAGCCTGCTGTCTGCTCTTCAACCAGTGGGGTTCCACTCCTCCACGCTGCCCGGCTTCCACGCCTTCCCCCGGGCCTCTCTTTCCACCCAGGATGTGGTCTCCTCTCCACCCCTACAGCAAAATCCACATAGACCTTCTCTCCCCACCCTCTCGACTTTCTTAAACTCCAGCCATCTTTGAAGACTCAGTTTCTAGCACAAAAAGTCCTATGTTTTGAATTCCTGTAATTTTGCACTTGGGTGTGGTTTACCTTCTATCATTCTGTTATTGATTTAATTCCTGTGAGTAAATATTCTGTTGCAGACAGAAGTGGAATTTGCCTGGGAGCAGCAACTGAGTTTGGTACTCATGTTGCTGTCTCCCATGGAAACTTATTTTACTAGCCTCAGTGGTAAGTGCTCAGTATTGAATAGATATCCTAACAGCCATCGTTTCTGTAGTACTTGCCATGTGTCAGATACTGTGCCCCGTGCTTTAGAGGCACCATCTCCTTTAATCCTTTCCACAGCCCTTTGAATTAGGAATGGGTGTTATCCCCATTTAACAGGTGAGAAAGCCCGGGTCAAGAGAAAGTTAAGGTCAGGTATCTAGTGAGTGGTGGATCCGAGATTCAGTCCCATGACTTTATGATTCCAGAAGCTATGTTCTTAAATGCTGTCATCACACTTCACTACTGAAAGTGCCTAGTGTCTGCCAGCTGGTTAGAAATCAATTTCAATTATTGCCAACAGAAGTAATAAAATGTAAAAAGGATCATCAATTTAGAACAAATAAATGTAGGTACAAAGATATTTAAGTCTGGATAGACTGAGTTCCGGGCATAGCAGGTTATCACTGAGGGGTCAGGAGAAATGCCTCTTAGATCACTTGCATCTTATCAAAGTGAAAGTGTTTTTATCTTAAACTCAGCAAACTCTTTGTAGTCCAATAAACGACTAACAGGAGGCAAATAGGAAGACTTCATGCTGTTAAGTGTGTGAGGCTTGTGAGAGGGTTGTAGCAACCTGCCACACTTTGAAAGGGGGGTCACCCCCTGCTTTCTGTAGCCCTTACTGTTGGTGACCCGGGACTTGCCCGGTGGGTGCACATGCAGCACGTGTGTTTGAGATGTGCGTGGTTAAGGTAGCTCTGAGACACAGCTCTTCCTCTCCTCCTTCCTGTGTTCTGCTGACTTGGTCCGGTCTCTTTAGGTTTTGTCCTCAGTTTTCCCATCTTGAACAGTTTCTCTGAGGGAACTCTCACACATTCCTTCATAAGCACTGTCACTGCATGAGCTACAGAGACAATGTGTACCATGATTAGAGTATGGTGAACAAATCAGCACTTGGTTGGGGATCATGGTCCCCTTAGTTCTCTTCGGCAGGGGGACTCTATTTTCCATACTCTTCAATCATAAGCCAGGGCCATTCGATGGCTGAAATAATGCAGAACATGAATATGGCCACCCACCCAACTTTAACAGCCACCTACCTCCAGCCTTCTGTGGCAGACCCAAGTCCTCAGAGTCCCAATGGGGCAGCTCCATGGTACTATCCCTAGTACTGGTGGTCCTATCTGTAGTACTAATAGTATTATCCATACACTGATGGTCCTATCACGGTACCGATGTACTGATAGTCACCTCTACTCTGTCTGAACTTGCTGCCATTTGGGTATTGAGGGCTGGCCTTTCTGGCCTGACACCATTACCAGTTTAGCTTCCTCAGACCCTGTTCCAGCCTAGTTCAGCTTCTTCCTTCCTTCTGCCCCTCCACATTTGTGATATCCCACCAAGCCCTGAACCTGAACTCAACCAAATTAAGACTGTATTAGGACCTTGGGGTAATACTCACAGGGATTTTATAGTCTGGATAACTTGAAATCAGATCTTGAATAAAAGGATGCTTCAGAAGAACAGCAACTTCAATTGGCTCCAGATTCTTGGAACCTAAGTCCTGAAATACTTTTATGAAGTTCTTAAAAGGAAAAAATAAAGAAAGTTGATTAACTTTACAATCCTGATGATGTTAAAATTTTTGTTTTTTAAAGGAATCATCATAATTTCTCTATGATGATACATTTGGGGAGAAATTCTATGAACATAGGCTCAAAATTGAGGGAAACTTTTCTTGGGTACAGGTTGCCCCTTTTATGAAATAATCTAACTAACCTCTGAATACATGTTCTCTGTCTTTTGGTGGCTGGTAAATCTGTTAGCGTCCTGTGCTTCGATTGCTCCTCGGAACACTTTGCGTAGTGTTTCCATGGAAATCATTTCCGTGTTCGCATTTTCAGAGATTTCTTCTTCCTTTTCCTCCCCTTCCTCTTGTAATTCCCTTTCTTCACTTATAAAATTGTCCTCAAGTTCAGGATATTCCTCAATGGGACTCATATCAGTAAAGGAGGAGGTCTGTGCAATTCAATGAAGAGAGCATGAAGTCTTTCCAGGAATAGAGATATTTAGAAAACACCAGTTTGGTCCCGCACTTTTTATGCCCTGGGATGATAGTGCCTACTGCAAACTAGCTAAACAAAATCTAGAGATAGAATATGCTGGCTGCACTGGAAATCATGTTGAAATCCCAGACCAGTTCTGCTGGTAGTTGACAGAGGCCTCAGCGTAGGGGCGTCTTACTCACCTCCGTACAGGCTTCTGCACACTACCCTGCCAGATACACCGCATTCCTCAGTGAAAGGACAGTGGAATGAATTTGTGTAACCACTGTTTTACACATGAAGCTAGATTTCTGAACAGGATTTGCTTTGGAAATTGTCTGCAGTCGAGAGGTTGTGGGCAACTTAATTTCTCAAGCTTGACAGATTCTAAGAAGCTTTGGGAATGTTTGTTTGGACACTGGAGGTTAAACCCGACTAAACATCCAGAAGGGAAAATAGAAAACAAATTGAATACGGACAGATTGAGATTCTTATTGCTGTTCATTGACACTTGGCCAAGAGCCATGAACTCAGACACCAGCATTCTGAGCGTGGGAAAGAGTAAATTGTTTCTGATGTAATTTCTTACGTATCAAAAGCCTGAAAAATATGCCTACCCTTTGATGCCATAATTATTGATCTAGGAATTGATCCTAAAGAACTATTCACGTACACAAAGACTTTTGTATCGGGATGTTCATTCCGTGTTACTTACAGCACAAATAGAAAACCTATGGCTCCAAAAATGGGGAATGGTGACATCAGTGATAGTGTCGGCCTGTGGCAGGATTCTATGTTGCTGTGAACATTTTGGTTTAGAAGGATACTGAGTGACATGAGAAAACGCTCATGGGATGAGTGCAGAAAGGAAACAGAACACAAATAATAAATATACCAGGATCCTCATTTTCGTATATAGCTATACTTAGAAATGAAAAAAAGAGAAACAGATACATTAAAGAATTGAAAGTAGTTACCTCTGATTGGTCAAACAGCTGATTTCTTTTTCACTTTGTTTTGTATTTTTCAAATTCTTTACAGTAGATTTGTACTTACTGTATTTACTGTTATAAATGTGTGTGTGTGTTTCTGAAGATGAGGTCATAGCTATTCAATGATTTGCCATAGGAAAATGGGCATCTTCAGAATGTTGACTGGTCCAGTGTCAGACAACACCTGAGGGCTGATTCTCCTTTATTCCGATGAAGGAAAAATGCTAATTTAGGCTTAAAATTAGAGCAGGGTGCCAATACCTGTAAATGCTCAATTCAGTAGAAGCATTAAGTGCATAGATCGCGCAAGTTCTTTCCAAAGAGCCACGTAAGTCCCATGTGTAAAAGGATTGTAACACAGCACAGAATTAAGCCTCTGGTTGTCATAAGCCCCTCTGAGGGATGTGCAGGGGCTGGGGGTAGTGCAGTAGAGACAGGTTGTATTTGCTCTAGCTCTGTGTGGTCACCTTGCTTTAGTTGGGTTTCCATATCCTTTGGTAAATTGGGAATTTAATCTAATCTTGGAGGGTGGGGGGAGAATGCTCTAGCAGGTGAAGTTTTTGGAATTAAGTACAGATATCTATCATCTACCTATCTATCTATCTATCTGTTCATCCAGCCTCTTCTCCATTTTAAACAGTTGAAATACTACTCGGCAGAAATGTGAAACTAGCTTTTTTGTCCCCATCTAAGAAGCCTGGGAATCATCACACTGGCTACCCGTCAATAATCCCCCTGGGGCGATAGAATATTTGCTGTGCTGAAATGAACATAGTTGAGATGCAGAACATCTTGCTGAATGACTGAAGGATGAATGAATTTCTATTCAGAGGGCAGCGCAGGTGCTACGCGGAGAAGACAGAGACAGAACCTGTGGGTGAGCACATGACTAGCTGGGCTTGATAAGCAGGCAATACCAAAATTGAACAGAGAAGGAACCTGCTGCTCTCTCTGCACTATTTCCATAACTACAGAGGGCCCAACTTCTCAAAGACTTGCTATAATCATCATGGGATAAATAGATTTTTTATTTTAGTCAAAAGATAACAATTTAAACATTTGAGTGAAGAATCCTTAACTTGTTATATCAGAGGATGCTTTATAAATGTTTGCTATTTTTGCTCTCTAGGGGGCTGGAACAGAATAGACTTAGTGGTTCAGTGGGAGGGGAGGGAGAAGAGGGAGGCCAAGATCAGGACCAAAGGAGCCAGTTCAGCATCCTGGTGGGACTGCATGGTGTACGCAAGAGGGGGCTCCCAACAGACGCTCTGAAAGACCACGACTGTGAATGTGGGTGGATGAACAAAACCAGGGATGCTGGTTTGGAGAAAAGCCAGGGCTTCTGAATGAGCAATAATTAGTGGCATCAAAACTCTGTGTGAGTCACATTATCTTCCAAGCAGCGGGGCAGATTGTGGCGCTAGCAAGCACTATGTCACAATCTCAGAGACGGCCCTCGAGGACTCCCAGCAAACGTGCCCCTGGAGTGGTGCCTGACCGTGCATTTCTGCCATTCAGTCTGTTTAGTCCCACATCTCAGAAGGCAGAACAGAAGATCAGTCCTTAGGACTAATGTGAGGAAAGCATCAAAGAGCAGAATGGGATGCACATTTAAGATTTTTGAAACCCAAGGCCTCAAACCATCTCTGTCAAGATGCTTTAACAAGACTCTCAAAATGTGGGAGGTTCAAGCTCATAATTTATTAACTTCCAATATCACAACCCCAAACTCCACAGGTCAGGGTGAACCATTTTCTCAAATATCAACTTATTTGAAGCTTCACGATGACTAGTGCCTGCTCCTGAGTGCTTTGCTCTTGAGCTTTTTTTAAATTACCCAGAAAGCCGTGGGTTTTAACAGGAGGTCTGTGCCACGGTGAATAAAACAGTGTGAGTAGCAGATATAGACTCAGAAAGAATGAAGTATCAGGGCGATTTCCAGTTGTTTTTTGGAAAGCAAAAGCCGAGATCCCATTAAATGTCTTGGGAGTGAATATAGATCTATTGGAGGTGTTATTTCTGAGCAGGCTCATTTTACCTCCCTGGGATAAAGTTGCCCAGGGAACTAGAATACAGTTGGAAAGGGCACAGAAAGGGGGTGGCATAATTGGAGGCAGGATGGTGAGGGCTATAGGAGTAGGCAAGAATGAGGAAGGTGGGTGGATCCTGTATTTCAAAAGCCCCTATGGTTCACTCCCAGCCAGGAGTAGTCCTGTGTGTGTGGTGTGTGACAGACCTGCGCCCCACCCCTGCCCAACCACGGTTTCATCTCTGTTGTGCAGTGGTCATGGGGCAGTTCCTGCGCAGTGTCCTTGGGCTTTAAAAGAGCTCTTGAGAGAAGTACTCCAGGGGAGCTGCTTCCTGGATGGGCACTAGCTCCCGGTGAATGACCCACCGGGTCAGGGACAGGAGGGATGCAGTGCCTTCCTGTGCTAGCTGGCTTGCAGACCCACAGACCCACCCAGAGAGCTGTCTGTTGCTATGGCAACCATTGTAGCACATACTTCCTTTTCCTGGTCTTTCTGGCTGGGTCAGGCCTCCTGAACCTGCTGTTGCCTCTGCCTCTGGAATGTCTGCTCTCCTCCTCTCTACCTTGGAGACGGGAGTCCCTCCCTTCCTTCTCTCTTCGTCTCTTTCTCCCCTTCTTTCCCTGCCATGTTCACAAACACTAATAGAGTATTTGCTGTGTGCATTACTGAGCACTTGCTACTTTGGAGGACATAAAGATGGGTAACAAGTCATCCCCAACTCAAGGTAGGAATAACAGCAGTAAGATTCAATAGATAAACCACCCCCTGCCTGAATTACTAGTTCTCCTTACTTCCCTCCTTTGCCCCCTACAGTCTGTCCTGTATGGGGGCACATTTTAAATCAAACGACCCTGCTCCGATGACTTCTCATCTCATCTCTTGACACAGTCAAAGCCAACGCCCCTCCAGGGCCCCTCGGAGCCCTCTCCCCCTCACTATCCTTGCCTGCTACTCTCCTCCAGCTCAATCCTCCCCAACTACACTGGCTGACTTGCGGTTCCTTAGGGTCCACCGGGCATGACCCCACTTGAGAGATTTTGCACTTACTGCTGTCTTCACTTAAAATGCGCTTCCTCCAGGGGTCTATCTGCAAGGCCCTCTCCCTCACCACTCTGGGCCTCTGCTTCCATGTCCTTTCACAGAGAGACCTTCTGTGACCATTCTATTTAACACTGCAACTCCCACCCAGTCTCCTATATTTTCCCCTCTATTCTTTATTCCCCATAGTGTCTATGACCATTTGCTGTAGTCTTTATTTTACTTGCTTTATCCCCAGAGGTGCTGGATGAATGTTTGCTGAGTAAATGCACAGGTGCATGTGATGGTGCTCAGCCTTGCCGGAGAGGATCTGGATGTAAATGGGGCCCAGTTGCGGGAATGCTCCGTGGGTCGGGGGAAGCTTCATGAATGATCTGGTGGTTGAAATAGGCCTTGGGTACTGGGGAGCCCTCGAACCTTTCCAGATGAGCTGACGCGTACTCCAGGTGGAGGGGATAGCAAGAGCAAAGGTACGGAGGTGGCAAAGAAGAAGGTTTAGACCCCTCTTTTGATCTGTAAAGCCCCATGTTAATCTGTCCTTTATTCTGTGTTCCCTCCATGTGTGGGCCATCATTCTCCCATTCTTTCCTGTATGGATAAGGGCAATTAGATGGAATCCCTTTAGTGGAGCAAATTTGGCTTCTTCTATATCCTTTGCAGATCACAGGGCTACACAGAGGGTAGGATTTACAAAGCTAATTAATGAAGTAATTGATTGCTCCACTCAGTGAAATGTTTACTGAGCTCTGTAGCAGTAATTCAGTTTCAGGAAGGCAGGTTAGGGGATGCAGAGCAAGACAGATGGCCCGTCCCTGCCCACAGGGTGCCCAGAGTCCAGAAAGGAAGCTGACCCTGTAGAAGTAGTTATCTATGAGGATTATGGTGAAGGGGGAAGCACAGAATGCTATGGGAACACAGGGCAGGGTTGCCTGCCACCATTCCAGGTCAGGGAAGGTCTCCCTGAGGACAGGTTGAGAACTCCAGGCAGGTTATGATCCATGCCAGTGTTGGGTGAAGGAGACCCAATCTGTAGAGAGATGTAGGCAGACCACATCTAACTCGTCATTTATTTGGGAAAATGTAAATGGTCTTCCTATGTTCTAAGAAGACAGCATTCTTGAGTGGAAATAACAATAACTCCTTCCTGAACTTTCTGTCACTGTGTCAGTGTTAATGCTGAGTCTAAAGTACATCGAGGTGAAGAGCCTTGAGTTGTCAGCTTCCTAGGCAGCACTCTGGCCTCACCCTGCCCCTGATGGAAGGGGTAGGACATCCTCCGGGTCATCTGCTCAGGGCTGAAATATAGGGCTGCCTGTAAAAGAGTCTATGTCTTCTGGGATGTGAAAGCTGTCATAGGAACTTCCCATTTTTTTCTCAGACAACCCAGCATACTCTGTTTTGACAAACATGTATGAAAGGAAAAGAACTGCAGCTAGGACATCCGAGGAGTCTGAACTGTGCAGCATCCCTCTCCCCCCTGGGGACACAGAGAAGAGCAGAAAAAAATCATTCCATCATGAGGGCCACTGCTCTGTCCCAAAAGGTCAGGTGAAGAGTAAAAAGTCATGCCAATGGACACCTAATAATTGTATTAGTCATTTCCCTGTTCTGAGGCTTTTCTACCTCCCCCAAAACAGGGAATGTCAACCCTTTAGAAATCGACAGGGGGATGTGAGGTTTTATTGGACATTAAGCTTTTCTGTCACTGGATGCAGGTGATACAAAGTGCCTGTGGAATTCAGGTGGCCAGGTTTGGGCCTGAAATACTATCAAGTGTCATATACATGTGGGATGTGTCTGAGGCCTGAACTTGTTTTACATAGAATTTCCACAGAGTGTGACTATCTTTCTCATTTCTCAGGATCAGCACTTCATGTAAAATAAAGGCTGCCCTTTACAGAGCAAACTTTGGTTTCACCAAAGAAACTTTGAGCAAATTTGGATTTAACTACCAAAACATTTTTTAGATAGTGGGTCCCTAGTTCTTAATCCAATTGAGTAACGCGTTATCGAAGACCTAGTAAAGCATCGTGTGAGGAACCTGGGAAAATACAGAGATTGATAAAAGCCAGTCTTTGTTCTTAGAAGTTTAGGATCTTTTGGAATCCCCTCCAGACCCCAACGCTAGTCCATTTCTGGACCACAATTACCTTTTCTGCACCAAGAGGAGGCATTTCAATTGGCTGGAAGACGTGAGTCCCAGTGGCCACACTGAGGGCCCTGTAGACCCCTTCCACACTGTCTGGATGGCAAGCAAAATAAAGCAGCATCTGTGTGTAGTCAAGCTGAGGTGGATCCTTCTCACAGTCAGCAAATAATCTAAAGAAAAACTGTCACACAAAAGAATTTCAGCCACAGGTCAAATGCATACACTTTGGTAGACAGTAGATGGACGGGCAATGAAGAATCCCTCCCAAAGTTTTGGAATATGGTCACTTTCTGAGGACTGAATTACTATAATTAACATGTAATGAATGGTATGAACTGAAGAGTAGGCTAAGTAAAAAAACATAAAAAGTAGGGCTAGAAACATTCTGATGTTAAAGAAAATTGTATGCTAATCAATGGTACCAACATACTTAGGAATGAATGTGCTAATTAAGGTGGCAGGGATGACATGTTAAGTAGGAAAAGGGAGCAAGGACCCCTCTGTCCATCCTCAGCTCCAGCTTGACAAACTGGGCCCTGACTCCCAACCATGAAGCTTCTGGTACATCTCACTCCCTGGGGAGTAGGGAGAAGGCAGGGAACAATGCCCAAAGCCACTGGGACTTGAGCCATTAGACTCTTTAAACTGGCCCACGTTGCACTGAACTCCCCAGACTATTGACTGTAATGTGACTTCTTCCAGTGTAGACTCCCATGCGGAAAGAGTGTGCTTATCACTGAATATCAGCTTGTTTGGCAAGTCTCTCCCGCATCCTGAATGACTGAGCTGACGCTCAGATCTAGATGCAGTGTCTCATGCATTTGACAGCGTGAGGAGTTAGTGCTCCGGGACCTAATATCCTCTGGGGACCCGCAAATCCTAGGCCAAGCTCTGGGACACAGAGGTCACATTTAAGCAGTTACGTGGCCCTGTTTGGGGAGGTGACTGGCTCTTCTCAAACATCTGCATGAAGTGACCTGGAGAAACTTTTTTTTTTTTTTTTAATAAATATGTCTGTTTATAAAGTCATGGAACTGATTTTTTTTAACATCTTAATTGTAGTATAATTGCTTTATATTGTTGTTTAGTTTCTGCTGTATAACAAAGTAAATCAGCTATACGTATACATATATCCCCATATCTCCTCCCTCTTGTGGCTCCCTCCCACCCTCCCTATCTCACCCCTCTAGGTGGTCACAAAGCACTGAGCTCATCTCCCTGTGCTATGCAGCTGCTTCCCACTAGCCATCCATCTTACATTTGGTAGTGTATATATGTCCATGCTACTCTTGCACTTCTTCCCAGCTTACACTTCCCCCTCCCCATGTCCTCAAGTCCATTCTCTATTTCTGCGTATTTATTCCTGTCCTGCCCCTAGGTTCGTCAGAACCATTTTCTTTTCTTTTTTTTTTTAATTCCATACATATGTGTTAGCATATGGTATTTGTTCTTCTCTCAATTTCGTTTCTTTTTATGGCTGAGTAATATTCCATTGTATATATGTGCCATGTCTTCTTTATCCATTCATTTGTCGATGGACACTTAGGTTGCATCCATGTCCTGGTTATTGTAAATAGAGGTGAAATGAACATTGTGGTACATGTCTCTTTATTATT